AAACAACAACAAAGACGCAAAATGACCACAAAGAGACTCGGATTACCACAGAGGGACACAAATTGATGGCAATTAGACACAAAACGACTACAACAATGTGACCACGCCCCCCCCGGCGCTCAGGCTCTTCAGAAGTGGCCGAGGTCGGACCAGTATCACATGTGATTACATTACACTAATAACGCTTTACTGAGTGCTTATCTGCGGGCTCGCTTCATTATCTCCAATCTGAGCCGTGTCCTGACATTTCACAGTAAACAACCACCAAGGGGACGCCGCTCGGTTTGAGTCTGACCTCATTCTCAAAGAACAAAGGGTTCAATTTGCTAATTGGTTAGAGAAGACGTGCCCCACAGAAAGAAAGGAGGGAAGAAAAAGAGAGAGAGGAAATCATTAAACATCTCAACAGTTATCTATTTTTAAGTCAGAAGAGACAAACTACTAAGAGGATGAAGCCGGCCAGTCTAAGTGTCTCACTGACCGTCTAAAAACATGTACATTTGACACGACCTTTCAGTTTGTGCTGATGTGAAGGGCGCTAAGCATTTGGCTTAAGATACTTCTTAGTTTGATTCCAAAAAGGTTGAAAGAGCTTTAGAGAAAAGAAAGTGCAACCTTCAAAACAAGTTATGAAGTAACTTGTTATTCAGGGGGAGTCTTCACAGAGCGGCGAACAAAGCACTACCGTGGTCTCATGACTGCAGCACGCCGAGCAGTGCAGCCAGTAAATCTGCTGGAGGCCTTAAGAGGGAATTACCAACTGAAACATATCAACCTAGATGCTGAAGAGATGGGAAATGAAAAGCTACTCGGGAAAGCACTTACTGTTAATGGCATTAGTGTCACAGAGCTGTGGAGTTTTTGGGGGTTCGGATTAAACAGAAATAATCTCGATAAATAGGCCTTAACTACGCTGATTAGGTTAGATTATGCTGCAGTGATGAACTGGGTTTGACCTTATTAATATTATTCTAGCTCCTAAAAAAAGGGCTCGCTTACACGGCGCTGTGAGCACACGGCCTTTGGTCTACCATGGCAGCGCATCGCACCACACTATGTGCTCCAGTGCCATGTCACAACTATTTGTCTTTGCGCAACTTATTTGTACGCTGGTGCCAGGAATTGTTGCTTTCACGGAGCAATGAGGAAGAAACATGGCAATGATGCAAATGTTGACTCGAACTGTACTCGGCTGCTGTTAGTGTCTAAAGTTGTTATAAATGATATAATATAGGGTAATATAGGGTAATAGAGGTATTGAGGTACTTGAGTATTTCCATTTAATGCTACTCCACTACATTTAGTTAATAACTCAACTTAAAGTAAATCTTGATGCCACTACTTTTGAACTTTTTACATTAGTAGGATTTTGAATGCAGGGCTTCTACTTGTAACAGAGTATTTTTACCCTGTGGTACTTTAAGCATATGTTTAATATTTGGGGAAAATGCAGAATATCTGATCTGTCCCTATTTTATAGAGCAAAAAAAATACATTAAACGCATGAATTTAACAGCCAGATGATAAAAAGAAAGAAGATGTGTCTGTGCTGTCCTGTCGTTCATTAACTCTGCAGTCATTGAAAATACACAGGTCTCCACTGCAGTAAGTGGAGTCAGTCAACAGTCAACCTTATTTAAGACTGAGGTGTTCCTCTTTTTCCTTTTAGTTATATGCTTTCATAATTCAGAGACTGACAGTCATAATGATTGCGACACAAATAACCACGTAAACGTTCAAGTATACCCAGCAGAAGTGTTATTCATTCACCTCGTGACAATAAACAATGCTGCTGCGCTGTTGGGAAATGAAAAGCTACACAACCAGGTTCCTGAACTTCCTGCAATAGATACATAGTGGATTTCATTATAGTGGATGGGAGTACGTCTGACTTCCTTTTGCTGTTCCTGTGAATTGTGTCCTGCAGCAACCTTTTTGTCCCCCGCGTGGCCTGACCGGCCGCGTCACGTGTTTGAGGCTGAAAATCATCTGACTGACAGGATGTTGACTCAGGCACAGTGAAAACCAACATTAAACTGTCATCTAAATCTGAACGCCGCGTCCGCTTGACATGAGGTCGCACTGCGAGCGCCGTCATACACATGGTAAAAACGCATGAACACAAAGAAAGACCGAAGACGTAAAGTGATGGTTTTGAGCCTCTAAAGGAGGTTCAGAATTAGTCACAGTGAGCATGGGACCCTCATGGTTAACCATGTGCTAATCTAGAGCTCACATGTCACTGAAAGGCCTCATTTTCATTAGTGGGCTACGGTATCTCATGTCAGCTATTTTTAACCTCATTATTTGCTCTTTGTGTATGAACTGTAAATGTTTATCACTGTTCTGATGTATGTAGGACACTCAGGCATCATGTGTTCCTCTGTTATCTCCTGTATTATACACTCCAATGTGTGTGTGTGTGTGTGTGTGTGTGTGTGTGTGTTTACCTGCAGGCCGGACAGCCTCCCACCACCACTACAGAGGGTTGGATGATGGTGTAGGTCCCAGTGTAGGGCTGCTGGGATACAGCAGGGGCCATTTGGGCTGATGGGTATCCTGTGGTTGGCAGAAGGAGATGGCGTGCACGTTATATATACGTAGCTCTGCTAATTAGAGAAATGATCCGACCGGGTTTTGAATGGAGATTTGAATGTGAGCGGTGACACGTGTTCATCAGAGGCTGCACTTATCACCATGGACGGGTTCAACAGCACCAAAGTAGATAGCAACAGAACACGAGGTAATAAACGTCTTTAAGCACCAAATGAAAGGAGGTGATAGTGCAGATATAAACAGCTCGTTCTAAGGTAACGGAATAATTATACACTAATACAAAGTCATCTAAAATGTATCTATTTGTATGAAAATAAGTATCAACAAGCATTTGTGATATTATAGTGTAAGAGTGTAGTGATATGTTCAGGATAGCTGGATTTACCGGTGTTACAAGACTGACTGGTCGCTACAACGAAGGTCCAATCATCAGTCTGCCTTTAAATGTCTCTCACAGCTCAACAGGCAAATCTCATGATCGAGTTGCTAGAGATTCAAGTTGGCTGGAGAAAGTCAAACAACAGGTCACAAAAAACCAGAGGTGGAGTGTGACTGGTTCATATTGATTGGTTGTTGTTTTTTTTCTCAACCACCTGTGTACACCTGCAGTGGGATTTGTGTGACACAGTGAACTTTGATGGCATAACCAAACACCTGACTGCAAACCTCCCCGTGACACTAAAACTCTCAAGACCGCACACTTTGACTGTGAATACATACACCGTTTTAAAATGAGATAAGGGTTAGGGTTAGGGAAATTCCAATATTACAGCAGCAAAGTGGATAGAGAGAAAAAGACAGTATAAAGACAGTATAAAAACAGTATAAAAACAGTATAAAGACAGTAAGAGTATGAAAAAATGATTGTCCGTTTGTAACTACAGCAACAGACTCATCTTCAGAGGAGACCTGAATCACGTGGTTGAGCAAACAGGAAATTACATGCAATTACAAGAACTGAGTATTAATTTCAGGACGGAACTTCCATGTCCTTACGGCTCACATAAAGCCGACATACAATGTACAAGTAGAGTAGTTTTGTGCTGCAAATGACCTAAACTTCAACATATTCCACACCCTGTTGCTTCCTATAAAAACACACGATTTATTGTAAATAATCAGACTGTTTAAATGTATCGATTACTTATGGTTAATGAGCAGTGGCTTTAAAAAAAAGGCGCATATTTCCTAATGTCTGTAAACACAATAAGCCTGCTGCTGCTGTCACACTGCGCATGCGCCACATTAGACTACCTGATAAACGACACTAATGACTCTTTCAGGGTATTTCTAACTTTACATCTGTGACACGGTGGTTCAACCTCTACCCGCTGACTCAGTGACGGTCGCAGAGCCGAAACAAAGCGACCTTTAATGCCTGAACGAAGGCGGAAGTGGGCAGAAGTGAGTCCTCTCTCTCTCTCTCTCTCTCTCCTCGTCTGGGTACTTTCTGGTAAACGAGCGTACGTGTGTGTGTGTGTGTGTGTGTGAGACATGAACGGGGCTACTTGCCTTGGCCGTCGGGGTACGGGTAGGGCGGCGGGGCCGGCTGCGGGATGGCCCCATAGCTGTGCTGCTGCGGGCCGTACTCATAAGCCCCGGGGACGGCGTTGTAGGCGGGAGGTCTGTCCTGAAGAAGAGGTTTGCTGTCCACCATCTCACCCGACGTAATGCGTCCTCGAGTTGTCTCGTTTTTCTTCCGTCCTCAACTTAAATAAACTCGGCGACAGAAAAAGGGTTTCTTTTTTTAAAAAAAAAAAGAAAAGAAACTGAACTCCGGCTTTAGTTGGCTTTTGTTGTCGCGCGACGCGGTGGCGACAAAAACAAAGAAAACAAAGAAAAGACGCTGCGCCAAAATGAAACTTCGTCCCTCTCCATGCGCCAACTTTGTCCCCCTCGGCGCAACAACCCCCCCAAATATTTACCAAACGTCCACTTTTCGAGACAGGAATGAGCTGAGTCAGTCTGGTAATGGTTAACTTAACTCCATTTCCCTGCCCGCGGTTGGTCCTCTGGTACCAAAACAACAGTCATCTGTCATCGCAGCACCTTGTAACTCAGCTGGAAGTGAGGAAGGTTTTCCTTTCTGTCTGGATTGTCACAAGAGAAGAATCATGTGATGAGCTGCTGTAGAGCCTCTGCGCACCGAAAAGGCTTCTTAAAGAGACAGGGCGTGCAAATAAAAACAGGCTGTGGCGGTGCAGCTGCTGCATGCAGAGCACTGCGGAGCCAGCAGCCTTCATCCCTGAAGCACAATAATGATACATAACGCAGCCATACAGGGTATTAGTTATCGGTTCACAGTTTGAGCAGAGCCTCAGTGTGTGTGTGTGTGTGTGGACAGAAAACTTATTACACTGTGACTTACATAAGGGCTGTCCTGATTGTGAGTGGGCTACCCTTAATGTTGCATAATATTGTGTTGGCTTCCTTAATCAGAGGGTTGCGGTGAGGTCGACAGGATGTTTTGAAATAGCGTGATTTCATCCTTTAAATGAGAAACAGTCCAATAATTTAAAGGGCCACACACTGAAAAGGGGGAAATGTCAACCTGTAACACTTAGAAACTATTAAAAATAATATCACAGCCTAATGTTTGATTTATTGATAAGGGTTTTTGTTATTTGTGTTGTGGTTTATTCCAGCAGCTCGTGTTTGTGTGGCTTATAGTGTCTCTTCTACATCACAACAGGAGATGGTGGTGAATTGAAAACTTAACTCATATAAAGTATGATGTTAAGCTGTGGTACGGTTTCAAGACTCCCAGAGGGACAATGGTGGAAAGAACATATCAAAAAACATAATTATGATAAGATTGTAAGACACCTGCTGTGTTGTTAAAGGTTAAACTGGTGGTTCCTCGTCTCTCCCTCATTAAGATGTCTAACAGTGTATATAAAGTATAAAGAGTTATATAAAGTAACCTGGTAACCTGAACTCTTGTTTACAATGTACAGAAACTGTCTGATGTGTCATATTTTATACTTTTGCATCATTTCATATATATTTATTTATTTTTCCACCTGCTTGTATGAACATTTTTGATTTAAATATGTATATGTTTACCTTTGTTCAGCTTTGTTGTCGTTGCTTTTAGCTTTATGTCTATTTCTTTACATTGAGAGCAACGATAAACAGTCATATTCCCTGTATGTGTACATAAATATTAACTGGTTGTATTTAAATAGCTGTTTGAGGCCCAAAGAGGCCAAATGATCTAATATTGCACCAAAAAAAAAATTTGAGAAAAATCAAACTTTTTAATACAAATTGACTCCTCAGCTTCATCTTGTGACCCTTTGCAGTTTGGACAACCACCGGACTAAACTGTCTGCATTTAAAGTATATAAACCTTTAGTAGTTGAGCTCAACATAAAATGAGCCACTAATGCTTCAGGTTTAACATTAAATGATGATGTCATATATAATAACATGTCACAGTGAGTACTTTTATACTTTAAAGTGCATTTTGCTGATAAAACGCACTTTTAATAACATTTTGAATGCAGGACTGTTGATGAACTCGATATGACACATGGTATAAAGCTGAGGGGGGGTCATTATAACACTGTACTAAAGGTGTCCCCACCTCTGTCCAAGGTGCTGAACCTGGGCCCCCCGGGGATGAGGGAGCTGTCCGGGGTATTACTCAAACACACCACCATGGTATTTAAACACCAACGTTATTTAATAAAGATGGCCATAAATGAAACATGTCTGCTCTCCCTCTCTTTTTTATCCCCTTCTTTCCATCACTGTTGTGGCTGTCTGTTGTTGCTGTCTGTTGTTGCTCTTCTGGACACGGACCATCTCTGCAGTAAATATACTGTAACCATACAAGTAAAACCAAACCTTGCGCTTCAATAATTCATTGGGCGCTGAATAAATAATTGAAATATGCCCTGTCAATCACCCTCGACTGTCGGAAAAAAAGAGGCTGCTGCTCTCCAACCAATAGGAGAAAGAGGTCCCACACTCCTGCACAGCTTCCACCAATCAGAGCAACACTTCCTCCATTTCCCGTTGTGGACTGTGAGTCGGACATTCCTCTTATCTGGTCCAGGATGTGAATCAAACAGCACCGCCGAAATGTGCACGAATGACCCTGCTCCGCACAGGTGTCGCTCATGAATGCCAGAGCCTCATATATTGTGAGTAAATAGTTTTGTGTGTTTGAAGACCCCTCCTCCCCGGGCGTGACCTGGCTTTGCCGCCTGCTTCCCCTGGAGATGTAAACAGCTTATAGCCGACTTTGCGGCACCTATATCGGGCCACTATGTGTGTTATTAGCATGCTGTCATTGAAGGGTGGGTGGGTTTCTAACATGTTGAATGTGTCCTAGCATGGGCCTCGGAGACGGCAGGTATCAGCTGTTGCACTTGATGTCATGACACGTCTGTTGATATTCCCTTGACAACCGCGGATCGGATAGCAATATTCAGGTAGGCTGCTGTTTGAGCCCACTGTGGTTGTGGTCCTGGATTTAACTGTGTGTGTGTTTGTGTTTGTGTTTGTGTGTGTAAACTGCAGGCTACTAGGGATGTTAAGTTATTCTAGGAAAATTACACACATATAAAAACTATGTAATGTGGTTAAATGGCTGCATTTAGGCTACTCCAGGTGTTTCCTCTGTATTTTCCAGTCGTTGGTTCCGTTTCAAAATAAAGCTCAGGCGGCTGGTTACATTTGTTTAAATTAAACAGAATAAAAGGCCTGTTTGAATGAACAGCCGAGGCACAGTGACAGTCAATACCGTAGCGGATTAGTATCAGACGATAAAGCAAGTGTCAAGCTGGGCCAGCGAGGGTAACAGTAAGACTTCCGGTCAGAAATTTCAAATTAAAACCACCACGTTTTTGGTCGTCACTTAAAAAAAATAAATTCGTGATTTTAAGATAAATTAAGAAGTCCAAGAAAAAAATGCTCAGGGAATATTTTAAAAAATAAAGTCAGAATTGAAAACTTTCAGAGTAAAGTTAAATTCAATAAAGTTGAATTCCAGCATTCTGAAAATAAAGTAAAAAAAATCTACAATCTGATTTTACCCACTGAATTCTGATGATATCAAGGTTCATCTTTATTGTCGTTATACAATACAGATGACAAATCCAGTCTGTAACTTATACAAGTGTGATGCAGAAACTGAAGCCACCAGTGCACACACACACTGAGAGTGGACTTTACAGTGAAGTAGGAGATCTTGTGTCCAACAGGGAACACTTTAGAAACAAACAACATTTGCATATTCATTTATTCTGGAATTTGTGATGAGGTAGAAGAAGTAGACGCCTTTTTAAGGATTTTAATGTGGAAATTGTACTTTTTTGTGGAAAAAAACATATAAGACACACATTATTGCTCCAAGCAGACTATTTGTACATGTTGTTGTAAGTATATACTGAAATTTGACACAGCTCATCACATATTTCTCATATGGCTCTATAACTCTTTCTTATTATGGTGCTGCTAACTACCAGAGTGGGAAAATAACTATTCAACTATTCAAGGATGAATATAAATGCTGCCTTTACTCATGGCCGTACCTCTTCAGGATGTCAATAAAGTGCACAGAGTCATAAAATAAGTACCAGACAGTTTGGAAAGATGAGTGCTCTCTTGCTGTTTCCGTCCAGGGGCCATCATGCCCATCACTCTGCTGTGGGCCGTGGACGTGTATGGCAGGGTGTACAGCCTTTCCACAGCTGGCCAGCGGTGGGAGCGTGCAGACGACATGCTGCTGGAGCTGAAGCGTGTCACTGCGGGGAAGGGCCGCTGCTGGGGCATCGGCTGCGACCACTATGTTTACCTCAACATCACGCCCAGCGAGACCTCCATCCGCTACCGAGAGGAGACCTATGAAAACCAGGTGGGCCTCAAGCTGCATGTTCTTACACTCGCAATGCTGTACGTGGTCAGTGCTGAAGTGCTGTTGCTCTGCGTGTGTGT